GTCAGGAGTTCGAGACCAGCTTGGCCAGCATGGTGAAACCCCGTCTCTACTGCAAATACAGAAATTAGCCGGTGTCGTAGCGCATGCCTGTAGTCCCAGCTACTTGAGAAGCCGAGGCAGGAGAATCGCTTGAACCCAGGAGGCGGAGGTTGCACTGAGCTGAGATCATGCCACTGCACTCAAAAAAAAAAAAAAAAGAAAAAATTACAGTTCTAGAGTTCTAGTTACCCTTCCTGGGAGATTCTGATAGTCCTTATTTTATTATTTTTTATTATTTTTTTGAGACAGGATCTTGCTCTGGAGTGCAGTGGTGTGATCATAGCTCACTGCAGCCTCCAACTCCCAAGCTCAAGTGATCCTCCCACCTAAGCCTCCTGTGTAGCTGGGACCACAGGTGTGTAACTGTGCCTGGCTAATTTTGAAAATTTTTTTGTAAAGATGAGGTCTCCCTATGTTGCTCAATCTGGTCTCAAATTCCTGGGCTCCAGTGATCGTCCCATCTCAGCTTCTCAAAGTGCTGGGATTACAGGCATGAGCCACCACACCCAACCAGTCCTTATTTTGTATTTCTACCTAACTCCCCTTTGCGCATGATTTCATGGAACCTAAGAGGCTTCCTGGCCTTGTGAGCTTTTCCTTGAATCTCTCATAATTCTTTCTACCTGTGTTACACGGCAGATTCTCAAATTGAGGCTAAAGGAAAGAAGGGTGGGGACAAAGCATACAGAATGTGTGTATCTGTTTTTATATGGGTGTTGGCTGTTTTTCCTCACTGCTTTTTAAGCTGAATCTTAGCTGGTTTTCTTGAACTTTGCCTTTAGGTGTAAAAATTCAACCAGACACTCTCTCCTTACTGTGGTCAGCTGACATCATAACCACTAAGGCTTAATGAGCTTAACTTGCACTTTGATCACTAGCAAAGGTCTTGAAGTTATTTCTCTTCCTGATTCATAATGGGTGTGTGTATGAATCACTCTCACATAATTTAGATATAAAAACCTATGAGGATGAGGGAAGGAGGAGAGAAAAAAAGGACTCCTTTCATTTTCATCTGTACTTCCCAGATGGGCTGAATCCCTGATTATTTGACCCATCATTGTTATTAATATGGTTAATAAACTACCTGTTTATTGATTGAATTGTTCCTCCGATTTGAAATAGCCTGCAAATGGAGTTTGCCTAAATGACCTTCGACTTCCTAACCCTATAATTCATTCTTATTGTGATAGTATTGCTAGTGCGTGTGTGTGTATGTCTACACACACACACAAAAGGATACCAGACAGGTTCTTCCAGTGTGATTTGATTCCTTATCCATGATACTGTGTATGAGTTAGCAGGTGATAAGGACACTAGTTTCCTCCCTCCATTACTGAGGCAGAGCTGCTTGCCATGAATGTCCCTCTTAAGTATTTCCCAACCCAATCTAACCATGAACTGAGTGACCCACTGGAAGGAAGCTGCCTGTCTCCAACTTCCTAGTACTCTGCAAAGAGAGGTGAAGGAACTATGGAAAATGAACTAGAACTAGAAATATGTTAACCTTAGGATTCTGACTGCCCCAGAGGATAACTGGGGATATGCTTTGCCTCTGACATCACTGGAGCCCAGTCTGGATCGTTTTCACACATAATTGAATTCATTCTCCACTCCTAGGCGTAAGGGTGTGAGACTTAAAGGAGTATATGCTCTCCAGCCACAAGTGTTTATGCAAAGGGTAGATGTCCACTTGGCAAGAATGTCCTTTCCATTCCTTCAGCAAGCACTTATTGTACACTTTACTGTGTACCAGGCGTCTATGAAGATGAAAAGTCTTTTTGCCGGGCATGGTGGCTCATACCTGTAATTCTAGCACTTTGGGAGGCTGAGGCAGGTGGATCACCTGAGGTCAGGAGTTCGAGACCAGCCTGACCAATATGGTGAAACCCTGTCCCTACTAAAAATATGGGTGCCTGTAATCCCAGCTACTCAGGAGGCTGAGGCAGGAGGGTTGCTTGAACCCCGGGCGGGGGGCGGGGCAGAGGTTGCAGTGAGCTGAGATTGTGCCACTGCACTCCAGCCTCGGTGACAGAGTGAGACTCCATGTCAAAAAAAGAAGTATTTTTTTTTTTGTTTTTTCCAGTTTGGAGATGGGGTCTCGCTATGTTGCTCAGGCTGTCCTCAAACTAGGCTCAAGGGATCCTCCCACCTCAGCCTCCTGAGTAGCTGGAATTACAGATGCATGCCACTATGCAAGGCTAAGACATGGTCTTTGACTCCAAGGAACTCTAATAGTAGACTTCAGGATAGCTACTAGGAGAAGCCTCTGCAGGGTATTAAAAGGCTTTATGAGAGTTAGCCAGGGAAGATGGAAGGTGAGTGACATTCCAGACAAGGAAACAGCAAAAACAAAGGCAAGAAACAAGAAGCAAGAAGCAAGAAACAATATGATGTGTACCCATCACGTTGCTGGAGGATCATTATTAGTGCAAAGGAAAAGCTTCAAGTAGATAACTTTTCAGTCCTGACATTCTGTGATTATTTGCCTGCTTCCACGGTGGTCATTTACACCTGTAGGCTTTTCTTGGACCACTGCTATGTTTCCTGGTGTTTTCTTTCTTTTCCTTTTCCTTTTTTTTTTTCCTTGAGGCAGAGTCTTGCTCTCTACCCCAGGCTGGAGTGCAGTGGCGTGGCCTGATCTGCGCTCACTGCAAGCTCCACCTTCCGAGTTCACACCATTCTCCTGCCGCAGCCTCCCAGGTAGCTGGAACTACAGGCGCCCGCCACCCCCACGCCCGGCAAATTTTTGTATTTTAGTAGAGACGGGTTTCACTTTGTTAGCCAGGATGGTCTTGATCTCCTGACCTCATGATCCACCCGCAGCCAGGATGGTCTTGATCTCTGACCTCGTGATCCACCCGCCTCGGCCTCCCAAAGTGTGGGATTACAGGCGTGAGCCACCGCACCCAGCCGTTTCCTGGTGTTTTCTTTTCTTTCTTTTTTTTTTTTTTTTTTTTTTGAGACAGAGTCTCGCTCTGTCGCCGGCGCTGGAGTGCAGTGGCCGGATCTCAGCTCACTGCAAGCTCCGCCTCCCGGGTTCACGCCATTCTCCTGCCTCAGCCTCCCGAGTAGCTGGGACTACAGGCGCCCACCACCTCGCCCGGCTAGTTTTTTTGTAGTTTTAGTAGAGACGGGGTTTCACCGTGTTAGCCAGGATGGTCTCGATCTTCTGACCTCGTGATCCGCCCGTCTCGGCCTCCCAAAGTGCTGGGATTACAGGCTTGAGCCACCGCGCCCGGCCTCCTGGTGTTTTCATAGGCTCCAATATGCATGCTAAGTACTCATAGCTGCCTCTGCTTTCTCCTTGTAACCAAGGTAGGCTGTTTACCATAACCACCCCTTAAAGCTGACTGGGCACACGTTACCATTTCAGGTTATTAAGGGCAATTCTTAGATGCCCATGTTATAAAAATATGAACAGTGAAGGTTGCTTCCTGAGTTCTGTTGTCCTACTAAGACATCAGAAATACCATCTAGTCCTTTTTAAAGCTTCCATTGTGGCCAGGAGCGGTGGCTCACGCCTGTAATCCCAGCACTGTAGGAGGCTGAGGTGGGCGGATCACGAGGTCAGGAGTTTGAGATCAACCTGGCTACCATAGTGAAACCCCCTCTACTAAAAATACAAAAACTAGCCAGGCGTGGTGGCGCGTGCCTATAGTCCTGGCTACTCAGGGGGCTGAGGCAGGAGAATGGCTTGAACCCAGGAGGTGGAGCACTCCAGCATGAGTGACAGAATGAGATTCTGTTTCAGAAGAAGAAGAAGGAAAAAAGCTTCCATTGTGTGGTAACTTTCTCTATTCCTGACAGCCCATTCTCTTCACTTTTGGAGTTTTCAGCTGCTAAAAAGCCTTCACAAAATGTACTCCACCATCTCTTCCTGTTTAGAATCTGAATCTGCCTAATCATCCCCCTATGATAACGTGGTCAAGAGTTTGATGTTCTGTCAGAGTTCAGAGTTAAAATTCTAGCTTTTCCACTTACTAGTTGTGTGACCTTGGGCAAGTTTTCTCAACTCCCCTCTACTGTAGTTCCCTCATTTGTAAAATGAAATAACACCAGCTTCGTGGGGGTGCTTGTGAAGATTAATAAGCTGATGTAGGTAAAATACTGAGCACAGTCCCTGGCATACACTTAAGTACTCAATATTGGCTCTCTTCATGAACTAGGTACCAATTAACTGATGATCGTAATATTGTTGCTTTCCTCTTTCTAGGCTTTATGGCTCTATTTTATTTGTTACTGAGGGGCAAAAGATAAATGTTTACCATCACCTAGAATTGGGTTCTGGCCTCTAAAGGAGCCTAAGGCTTAGATGAGTTATTGGCTTTGGAAGCTGGCCTCCAAATTACTGCGCTAATTTATATTTTTCATTAAAAACTCAGCTTGCCTCTTCTATATAGCTGTCTTCCCTGGCCCTGAAACCCTAGTGTTTCGCCATAAAAGATTTTAAAATTAAGGGGTCATAATTCTCTCCCCACGATGTGTGGATTAATGGTAAGAAGGTGCACAGAACATAATATTCTTACGTTGAACGAAATAAAAGCAAAGATTTGGCTGTTTCTCATCTTTGAAGCACGAATCAAGAGATACTATGATGAAGCATAGTTTTTCTCTATAGGTGTGTAGAACTTTACCAAAAAAATCACTAGTTCAGCCATCAGTAGATCTGGATCCTAGGCTTTTCGCTGTCACCAAGATGCTGTGACCTCTAACCTTGTATACAGGTTTGCTTTGTACCTTGCGCGGTTGAGCATTCGAGAGTTAAGTAAAGTGCCTAGCATCATACCTGGTGCACAGAACCCAAAACGGTAGGTATCATGTAGCAGTTCTGAAAATCTAGCCCATCAGGATGATGCAAATGGGTGCGTTCGGCAGTGAGAAAGGGGAACCACATCTTGACACATCCAGTCGAAGGAAGAGCGCGGAAGTAGAGTCGCGCGGCAGCAAAGACTACGCCTCCCACCGTGCTTTGCGGCGGGGCCGGCCCGTCTTACCCAGAGTCGCCCTGCAGCGATCGCGCGTCTTTCCACCGAGGCCCCGGATGTAGAATCCCTCCCACCCGTTCAGTGGTCATGGCCTCACAGTGTCGCTAAGACTTGGGGCTCTCTCATTGGCTGTAACTCTTCTACTGGATTGGAAGCAAAAAAAGAGGCGGTGCACAAGGCGAACGGCGCCTGTGACTACAGCCAATCAGAAGCGAGGCCGGGCTTTGGCGGGAGGTGGGAACACTGTGGCCATTCGAATTTGGCGCGAGCGCGGCTGTATTTTGCTGCTGCTGGTGTGCAGTTTGTTCAGGGGCTAGTGGTGGTGAGTCCCTGAGCCTGCGTGTGAGAGACGTGAGAAGGATCCTGCACTGAGGAGGTGGGAAGGAGAGGATTGCTCGAGGAGGGCTGGGGTTTGTGAGGCAGCGGAGTTGCGTGAAGGCTGCGGGTTCCGGCGAGGCCCGAGGTAAAGTGAAGGTAAAAGAGCTGAGCTCGCTGGCGGTCTGAGGTCAGGATCAGGGAAAGGGCAGGTGCCCTCAGGGTAGTTATAGCAGTTGTGCGTGGTGTGAAGGAGCTGAAAGTTGTAGGAAGGAAATATTCTGGGGTGCGTTGAGAGCTGCCTAGAATGAGGACTGAGTGCAGAGGCGGAGAGAACTGAGGGAAGACTGAACTGTAGTGTGAGGACTTGGGAGAGAAGAGACTAAATGTGGCGGATGCTGGGCTGAACTGGTGATAAAGACACCCCGCGTTCCTGGAGAGAGGGAATTAGAAGTTCTATATAAATCAATTCATGTAACTGGTTTTTTTTTTTTTTTTTTTTTTTTTTTTTTGGAGACGGAGTCTTGCTCTGTCGCCCAGGCTGGAGTGCAGTGGCGCGATCTCGGCTCACTGCAAGCTCTGCCTCCCGGGTTCACGCCATTCTCCTGCCTCAGCCTCCCGAACAGCTGGGACTACAGGCGCCCGCCACTACGCCCGGCTAATTTTTTGCATTTTTAGTAGAGAAGGGATTTCACTGTGTTAGCCAGGATGGTCTCGATCTCCTGACCTCGTGAGCCACTGCGGCCAGCCGTAATTTTTGTATTTTTACTAGAGACGGGGTTTCACCATGTTGGCCAGGCTGGTCTCGAACTCCTGACCTCAGGTGGTCCGCCCGCCTCGGCCTCCCAAAGTGCTGGGATTACAGGCGTGAGCCACCACGTCCGGCCTATTTCAGGTAACTTCTTATTGCATCGCTCAATTGGTTAAGAACTTGGGCTCTGGCGCCAGAATGCCTGGGGTTACATACCTGTTTTTCTGTGACTTTGGGCCACTGTTTATCTCAGTTTTCTCATGTGTAAAATAAAGGCTAATAGTAGTACCTACCTCTTTAAGGTAGTTGTTAAACGAATTGGTACCTAAAGTGTTTATAACAGCGGCTTCCACGTAGTAGGTAGACAACAAATGTCAGCTGTTCTTGCATAGATTTGGATGTGAAGCAAAACTGAATGCTAAAATATTGTGATAACATAATTTACTTAAGAAATAAGTGTTTATCATCAGTATAAGTTTATTTATTCTCTTCACTTTCACATATTGACTAGTTGTCCTGTTATTTTTTTTTAATCTAGCTGTGCTGCCATCATGCCTCAAACCCGATCCCAGGCACAGGCTACAATCAGTTTTCCAAAAAAGAAGCTGTCTCGGGCATTGAACAAAACTAAAAACTCAAGTGATGCCAAACTAGAACCGACAAATGTTCAAGCTGTAACCTGTTCTCGTGTAAAAGCCCTGCCTCTCAGCCCCAGGAAACGTCTGGGTAAACCATCCATTATATCACTTTTTCACTAGCAGCTCGTGACCTTTCTTTTCTCAGTAAGATGTGTGTCCTTTGAAGAAGCTTTCTAAGTTCAGTTAAGACTTTTTTTTTTTTTTTTTTGAGACAGTCTTGCTCCATCTCCCATCCTGGAGTGCAATGGTGCGATCTCAGCTCCCTGAAACCTCTGCCTCCCAGGTTCAAGCGATTCTCCTGCCTCAGCCTCCCAAGTAGCTGGGATTACAGGCGCCCACCACCATGCCTGGCTAATTTTTTTTTTTTTAGTAGAGACAGGGTTTCGCCATGTTGGCCAATCTGGTCTCTGACCTCCTGATCTCAGGTGATCCACCTGCCTCGGCCTCCCAAAGTGCTGGGATTACAGGTGTGAGCTACCGCTCCTGACCCTAAGACTACTCTTCATTTTAGTTATTTTCAGAATGGTTGCTAAGTGCTTACCAAACTCCAGAGTTAAGCCACTTACTGAGGTCACTTTCTGAACTACTTAACAGGTCTGATCTTCAATTCCTTAATGCTGAACTTAGTTCTGTCAGTGTTTTAAGTTACCTTGTAGTTACATGGTATTATGAAATTTAACCTCAATATTTGTGAAATTAAAAGAAACAAAAAGGTGACATGCTGGATATTTTCCATCCTTTAGAACAGTGGTTGGTAATTCTTTCTTGTTTTGGAACATTTTTTTTAAATAGGGGGGTGATTTGGTTGTTTCTGGAGACATGTTTGGTTGTTACAGCTGGGTGTTGCTACTGGCATAGTGGGTAGAGGCCAGGGATGCTGCTAAACATTACAATGCACAGGACAGCTCCTTGACAATGAAGAATCATTTGGTTCAAGATGTCAGTGGTGCCAACATTGAGAAAACCTGTTTCAAAACAGCCTTACAATTTCATCCTGGTAAAACCCGTTTGGTTTCTACTAAATGCAGTAGTCCTCACTTATCTATGGGGGATACATTCCAAGACCCCCAGTGGATGCCTGCAATTGAGGATAGTATCAAACCCTACGTATACTGTGTTTTTGATCTGATAACCAAGTCAGCTACTAAGTGACTAGTGGGTGGATAGCATATACAGTGTGGATATGCTGGCTGAAGGGATGATTCATGTCTCTGGTAGGATGGTGTGGGATTTCATCATGGTACTAAACTGCATGCAATTTAAAACTTGTCAATTGTTTATTTCTGGAATTTTCCATTTAGTATTTTCAGACTGAGGGTAAGTAGAACGGTGGATAAGGGCACTACTGTAGTAAGATCAGTGGTGCCATCTGGTGGCCAATATTGGCTGCTAAGTGAGAAGGCATTTTATGTTGGTGGTTCTAAGGTAGAAATTCACCTCTTTCTGGGAGAGGCAGAGGTCTTGCACATCCTTTTACTATCCAATGCTATGAGTGACTACATTTTGATTTTATTATGTTTCAGGTGATGACAACCTATGCAACACTCCCCATTTACCTCCTTGTTCTCCACCAAAGCAAGGCAAGAAAGAGAATGGTCCCCCTCACTCACGTACACTTAAAGGACGAAGATTGGTATTTGACAATCAGCTGACAATTAAGTCTCCTAGCAAAAGAGAACAAGCCAAAGTTGACCAAAACAAAATACTTTCTTCAGTTAGAAAAAGTCAAGAGATCACAACAAATTCTGAGCAGAGATGCATACTGGAGAAAGAATCTGCATGTGTGAGATTATTCAAGCAAGAAGGTTTGTTCTTCCATGGCAACTGTTAGTGCAGCCATTGTAACCAAGGCTGATGACTCCAAATGAAATCACCCAGTGGGTCTTCTCAGTCACCTTCTGTTGTGTCTAATTGACCTTTTATGTCTGGCACAGGCACTTGCTACCAGCAAGCAAAGCTGGTCCTGAACACAGCTGTCCCAGATCGGCTGCCTGCCAGGGAAAGGGAGATGGATGTCATCAGGAATTTCCTGAGGGAACACATCTGTGGGAAAAAAGCTGGAAGCCTTTACCTTTCTGGTGCTCCTGGAACTGGAAAAACTGCCTGCTTAAGCCGGATTCTGCAAGACCTCAAGGTACATTGAGAGTCTGAATTATGATGCTCTTGGTAAATGATACTTGGGTGTTTTGTTTTGTTTTTGAAACAGGGTCTCACTCTGTTGTCCAAGCTGGAGTGCAGTGGTGTGATCTCGGCTCACTGCAGCCATGACCTCTTGGGCTCAGGTGATCCTCCCACCTCGACCTCCTGGATAACTGGGACTACTGGCACTCACCACTACGCCCAGCTAATTTTTTGTAGAGACAGGGTTTCACCATGTTGCCCAGACTTGTCCTGAACTCCTGAGCTCAAGCAATCGGCCTGCTTCCACCTCCAAAGTGTTGGGATTACAGGTGTGAGCCACTGTGCCTGGCCAGCACTTAGTTTTTAAGAGTTAAGAAAGAGGGCTAGGCACAGTGGCTCACACCTGTAATCCCAGCACTTTGAGAGGCCGAGGTGAGCGGATCACCTGAGGTCAGGAGTTCGAGACCACCTTGGTCAACATTTTTTTCTATTATTTTTCAATAATAGAAAAAAAAAATTAGCTGGGTATGGTGGCAGGTGCCTATAATCCCAGCTACTTGGGAGGCTGAGGCAGGAGGATCACTTGAACTTGGGAAGCAGAGGTTGCAGTGAACTGAGATTGCACCACTGTACTCCAGCCTGGGTGACACAGCAACACTCCATTTCAAAAGAAAAAGGAAAAAAAAGAGTTAAGAAAGAGTAGACCTGGTGTGGTGGCTCACGCCTGTAATTCCAACACTTTGGGAGGCTGATGTGGGTGGATCACCTGAGGTCAGGAGTTCAAGACCAGCCTGGCCAACGGGGCAAAACCCCATCTCTACTAAAAATACAAAAATTAGCTGGGTGTGGTGGTGTATCCCTGTAATCCCAGCTACTTGGGAGACTGAGGCAGGAGAATCACTTGAACCTGGGAGGCAGAGGTTGCAGTAAGTTGAGATTGTGCCATTGCATTTCAGCCTGGGCAACAGAGTGAGACTCTGTCTCCAAAAGAAAAGAAAAGAAAGAGTAGAAGTTTAGAAGATTGAAGGTTTCTTCAAAACAAGATATTTGTAATTTCATTGTTTAAATCTTTCCAAATGAAAGTAGAGCTTCCTTACGTGCTGTTAGCTCTTCAAAGACATTTTAGGCTCTATCAGATCTTTATTTTCTGAGGCCAAAATAACTACCATGTTTGCATTTTTTTTTCCAGAAGGAACTGAAAGGCTTTAAAACTATCATGCTGAATTGCATGTCCTTGAGGAGTGCCCAGGCTGTATTCCCAGCTATTGCTCAGGAGATTTGTCAGGAAGAGGTATCCAAGCCAGCTGGGAAGGACATGATGAGGAAATTAGAAAAACATATGACTGCAGAGAAGGGCCCCATGATGTAAGTATTGTTCTGCTTCATGTTGCTCTGTGAAAATCTGCAAGGTCTGTTGCCCATAAAAAGTACATTTTGTATATTTGCTCTCTGAAGGATAGTTACACAAACTTAAAGGGAAAGAAGAGAAGGAAGATACACCTAATTTTAAATTGGATTACTTGTAGATGATGTGGAGTATCCTTGTAACAGTAACTAGAGATAGGATAGATTATGATCTTTAAACTGGTCTGAGCTTTAGGAAAGTGACCTGAAGTCAGCCTATACCAAACATTAGAGGGTTAGGAAGGTGAATATGGATTCTAACTGTTTCTCTTTTTATAGTGTGTTGGTATTGGATGAGATGGATCAACTGGACAGCAAAGGCCAGGATGTATTGTACACACTATTTGAATGGCCATGGCTGAGCAATTCTCGCTTGGTGCTGATTGGTTAGTGCTCAATTGTTAATGTTACATGGTGGTTTTAAAGTATTTTTTAAAAAATATATATTCAGCTTATTTATCAACTATTTTATCTTAAACCAGCTTTCTGCCTTGTCAAAATAGAAAGTTAAATGACTAGGTACATCTTACCTAATAGATATATCTTATCAATTGGGATGGGGTAGGAGAAAACTGGGAAGCAACATGCTTCCATGTTGGAAGATGCTAGATTCTATAACTGGAAATTTATTTAGCTTTCAGAGGATTTAGTTTTCCCTTTAGGATAATGTGACCAATGATCAATGTTGTTGATCTCCTCCTTAGGTATTGCTAATACCCTGGATCTCACAGATAGAATTCTGCCTAGGCTTCAAGCTAGAGAAAAATGTAAGCCACAGCTGTTGAACTTCCCACCATATACCAGAAATCAGATAGTCGCTATTTTGCAAGATCGACTTACTCAGGTCAGTGCCAACTATTTTGCCAAATTATGTGTTTCTTGGATCACCTGTGCTAGGAAAATTTAACGATAGTTTTAAAATATTTTTGCCTTGATTGCTTTATTAATGGAGCAAGAAGTTCCTATGGACCATAGTGAGAACATTTTTATGTGAATTTCTGCTTCATTCATTTACTGGGTGTCTCAGTGTTGAAATAAAATCAGGAGTTAGAGGAATTTTGAGATGGAGTTTTGCTCTTGTCGCCCAGGCTGGAATGCAATGGCATGATCTCGGCTCTCTACAACCTCTGCCTCCCGGGTTCAAGCAATTCTTCTGCCTCAGCCTCCCGAGTAACTGGGATTACAGCACCTGCCAACACGCCCAGCTAATTGTTATATTTTTAGTAGAGCTCGGGTTTCACCATGTTGGCCAGGCTGGTCTCGAACTCCTAACCTCAGGTGATATGCCTGTCTCGGCCTCCAAAGTGCTGGGATTACAGGTGTGAGCCACTGTACCCGGCCTCAAGTGCTTTCTTTAATGACTTTTTAAAAATAGGGCCTATGAAAAATCTTTTTCTGTTGAAAGTAACTAAATATTTTATTTTTGCTAATTTCAGTTCTGATTGCTTTTTTTCCATTTATGAACTTCTGCCACATCCGTACAAAATGCTTAAATGTGTGAAAACTCTCAAATATCTCCATTATTTATGAGAAGAAAAGGCATCTTTTTGACCCTAAAGAGTTGCCAATCAAGTTTAGGGTTAAATGTGAAAATATTTATGCTTGGGACATAAATTACCGAGGGAGAATCTTATAGTTCAAACTGTCATATTCTATGTCTTGTCTTAAGGTATCTAGAGATCAGGTTCTGGACAATGCTGCAATTCAATTCTGTGCCCGCAAAGTCTCTGCTGTTTCAGGAGATGTTCGCAAAGCACTAGATGTTTGCAGGTGAGTTATGGCACTGTTGCCTCCTTTTATTAAAAAAAAAAGAAATGCTGTTAATTGTCTCATGTAACTCAAGTGAATGTGGCTTAAGAGGCTCTGTTCTGCTACTTTTTTACGCTCAGAAAGGAGGACTTGTTTCTCAGTGGGGAGCTCTGGATTTCCACCGTGTTAATGTCTGAAACATTATCAGTCCATTACCTACAGAGGGAGAAACAAATGAGATGTTGCTGGCACTCCCTGTGGTGATTATAGATTGGTTAATTACATTTGTATTAAAAAAGACTCCAGTTTACTTTTCCATTAGCTGGTCTCAAGCAGGTTTATTTATGGACCTGAACCATCTTTGCCTTTAGACTTTTTCCCTTCCTTTCCTTTTGTGAGCACCCCTTCTTCCCTCCAGTTGGTGGTCCCCCATAGTTGTACTCCAGACCTCTTTCTCCCTTCCCATCCCCCTGCCCCTCCTGCTGGGGAAAGCCTCTGTGCTGACTGATGAAATTTCTTCCTTCCCAGTAGGGACGCTGGGTCCATTAAAATGATACTTGCTGTGCTGGCCTGCTGGTCCAACCTCCCCCTATTGCCATGCAGAAGACCCAGGTCTGGCTTATGGCTTCCTGTGGGCAAAGTACTTTGGAGAGAGCAGTGGGAGAGTAAGCTCTTCCTATTGCTAGATTGCATGATCCTGAATTTGAAAGTTTCCCCTAATCAGCACACTACTTGGGTAAAGACTGCAACTATGAGCAATAGTCATGTAGGCTAGGGTGGTTTAGCCTACACATATCCTATGTATTTATAACTGAAGATATCTCTTTTAGGTTTGGTGTGTATGGGTGGTGCTGGCTCCCTTTAGTTAGTCACCCACACTACATATCCTCTCTCCTACCCATGACATTTTCTCCTCATCCAAAATGTTATCATTGGCTTAATGTATGATGACCTACTTGGCATCTATTAGGAGGAAACCATTGAAGTTTCTCAAATCTGACGTCCATGAATTATTTCAAAGCAATTCAGTCCCCTTATCTGAGAAATAACCCAGTTTTGTTTGGGGGCTTTAAAATTACAAAACATCATAATTTTAAAGTTAGACATAGGATATGTATAGGCTAAACCATGTTAGCCTACATGACCATTGTTCATAGTTGCAGTCTTTAAGCAATGGTCATTAATGTGCCTGCTTTTGAGGCTGGTGGTTTGTTATGGTGTTTGGTTTGGCTCAGACTAAATTAATTTTAGAAATTTTTTTTATAGGAGAGCTATTGAAATTGTAGAGTCAGATGTCAAAAGCCAGACTATTCTCAAACCACTGTCTGAATGTAAGTAGTTTATCTTCTTCTTGTCTTCCTTTGTAACTGGAAGCTTAGCTTTTCTGAGGAAAGAGGTAGAAAGATGAAATGAACATAGTTAAATCCAAAATCACCCATTTTTATGTGTGTCTGTGTTTTTAGTCTGTTTCATCTACTTTATTTCAATCTTGCCTGCCAGTACTATAGTTCATGCGTTATTGGAAATGAGTTCCCAGGGTATTGCGTAAATGGCTGGGAGAGAGTAAGTTTTCTTTCCAAGCTCTAGAAATGAAACTTGTAGACAATGAGGTTGGATCAGCTCTCTGGGTGCTTATGTTGCGTGCACTTTAGGTCTCAATATAGGTGAAAGCAAAGCCTGATAAATAAGGGAGAATTGGGTAAAAGAATTGTGAGGCCAGAGGCCCGGCGCGGTGGCTCAAGCCTATAATCCCAGCACTTTGGGAGGCCGAGATGGGCGGATCACGAGGTCAGGAGATCGAGACCATCCTGGCTAACACGGTGAAACCCCGTCTTTACTAAAAAAATACAAAAAACTAGCCCGGCGAGGTGGCGGGCGCCTATAGTCCCAGCTACCCGAGAGGCTGGGGCAGGAGAATGGCGTAAACCCGGGAGGTAGAGCTTGCGGTGAGCTGAGATCCGGCCACTGCACTCCAGCCTGGGCGACAGAGCGAGACTCCGTCTCAAAAAAAAAAACCAAGAATTGGGAGGCTAGGTGTGGTGGTTCACACCTGTAATCCCAGCACTCTGGGAGGCCAAGGCCGGAGGATCGCTTGAGCCCAGGATTGTGAGACCAGCCTGGGCAATATAGTGAGACCTTGTTTCTACAACAAAATTTTAAAAATTTTGCAGCCATTAGAAATATGAGTTCATATCCTTTTTAGGGACATGGATGAAGCTGGAAACCATCATTCTCAGCAGAGTAACACAGGAACAGAAAACCAAATACCACATGTTCTCACTCATAAGTGGGAGTTGAACAATGAGAACACATGGATGCAGGGAGGGGAACATCACATGCCGGAGCCTGTCAGGGGTGAGGGCCAAAGGGAGGGAGAGCATGCGGGACTTAAAACCTAGATGATGGGTTGATGAGTGCAGCAGGCCATCATGGCACATGTATACCTATGTAACAAACCTGCACATTCTGCACATGTATCCCAGAACTTAAAGTTAAAGGAAAAAAAATTAGACAAGCATGGCTTGTGCCTATAGTCCTAGCTACTTGGGAGGGTGAGGCAGGAGAATCACTTGACCCGGAAAGGCAGAGGTTGCAGTGAGCTGAGATCGTGCCACTGCACTGCCAGCCTGGGTAACAAAGTGAGACTCTGTCTCAAAAGAATAAGAAGAAGAAAAATTATAAGTTCAACTTGGGATAGATATCTCAAGCTTTTAAAGAAGTCTAGAGGGTAGAGGTAAAAATATCATACTGCTACAGTAAGCTACACGCTATCACAAATGACAAAACTAATTTTCCATTCCCTCAGCCCTGTTGTTTCGGTTGTGGCAAATGTAAAATGGCCATGAACTACATATCTTACAGTATTTGATATCCAGTGTTAGTCTTTATAAACAGAATAGTAAGATTTGATTGTTTCTTTTTCACTCCTACACTGGCTGGGAGTTAGTAAAATTGTTTCTGGTGTTATAGTTCTGCATGAAATTCTTTCTTTTTTTCATCAATTTGCTGAAATAAAATAATTAAAAATATTTCAGAAGTGGCCAAAAATAGTGCTTAGGCTAATAGTAGGCAATATATACCAATGTATAGACTTAGATACTGGTTTCTTCTTCCATTTCAACTTTTCAGATTATTCCCTTTTCCTCCTTTTTCCCCACCAGTAACATTTAGGCTTGTCACTGGCCCCTGTGAGCACCACTAGCACAAACATAATTAAAAGAGGTAAAGAGGTTGTAAGTTCTATCTTTTGACTTCGGGTTTGTGTGGGATTGGCTTTTTTCTTTTTCTTTTTTCTTTTTTTTTTTTTCTTTTTTCTTTATTTTTGAGACAAGATCTTGCTCTGTCTCCCAGGCTGGAGTCCAGTGTGCAATTATGGCTGGTGCGATCATGGCTCACTGCAGCTGCAACCTCCCAGGCCCAAGCAGTCCTCTCACCTCAGCCTCCCCAGCTCCAGCTACTGCTAATTTTAAAATTTTTGTAGAGTCAATGGGTGGAGGAGTCTCCTTATGTTGCCCAGGCTGGTCTCAAACTCCTGGGATGAAGTGATTCTCCTGCCTCAGCCTACCACAGCTTTGGAATTACAGGCATGAGCCACCATACCAGGTTGAGATTGGCTTTTAATGGCTCCAGAAAACTACAGGGAGAATGACTTCAACTAAATATAAGAAGAAAATTTCTAATAACTAGAACTAACTGGGCTTCCTTGAAACATAGTGGGTTCTCCAGCATTGAAGATATTCAGACAAAAGCTGGATAGATGCCACTTGTTCAGATTGTTTTAGAGAGGACTCGGCCATTGGGTAGGGAGTAAGAATAGATTTCTAAATTCCTTTCAGTTTTAAGATTCTCTTACTTGATCTGTGATCTCCGGTTTCTCCATTAGTCCTCTGCAGCATCCCTTTGTGGTAATATAATATTATAGAAGTAAATTGTTGTGGGACAACTGCAAGTGATTTCAGGAAGTAACTTCAGGCAAAGGTTGTTACAGAGCATGTTTCTCTGTCTTGGAATTCATGCATCTCCAAACGATGAGGCCATAGCCTTTTTTTTTTTTTTTTTTTTTTTTTGAGACAGGGTCTTGCTCTGTCACCCAGGCTGGACTGCAGTGGCGTGATCTTGGCTCACTGCAACCTCCTCCTCCCAGGCTCAAGCCATCCTGCCACCCCAGCCTCCTGAGTAGCTGGGACCGCAGGCACACACCACCACACCCCGCTGTTTTTTTGTATTTTTAGTAGAGATGGGGTTTCACCTTGTTGCCCAGGCTGGTCATGAATTCCTGAGCTCAAGCCATTAGTTATTTTTCCTGATCCTCTCCCTCCACCCTCCTATAGGCCCCAGTGTGTGTTGTCCCCTCTGTGTGTCCACGTGTTCTCATCATTTAGCTCCCAGTTAGAAGTGAGAACATGTGGTATGTGGTTTTCTGTTCCTGCAGTAGTTTGCTAAGGATATAGTCTTATGCAGCTTATTGGCAATTTCCCAATCCCTGGCTTTTATTAAGATGATGATATCTGACCAGGCATGGTGGCTCACGCCCATAATCTTAGCGCTTTGGGAGGCGGAGGAGGGCAGATTGCTTGAGCTAAGGAGTTCAAGACCAGCCAGGGCAACATGATGAAACCCCATCTCTACAAAAAATACCAAACAAAAAAGATGGTGCTATCTGCTAGCATATCTAGTGACATTTTCTCTAGTGTTGCTCTACTGCTGATCAGCTTGGGCAAGTGAACCAAACCTCAAAGGTCATTTGGGGAAGTCCTCTGAAGGACTGATATGGCAGTGACTTCACTCGCCACATTTAGCTGCTCATTTGATCCAAAATATTAGGTAATTTTCCAACTTTTTTTTTTCCTTTTTTTTTGAGACGGAGTCTGGCTCTGTTGCCCAGGCTGGAGTGCAGTGGCCGGATCTCAGCTCACTGCAAGCGCTGCCTGCTGGGTTTACGCCATTCTCCTGCCTCAGCCTCCCTAGTAGCTGGGACTACAGGCGCCCGCCATCACACCCAGCTAGTTTTTTGTATTTTTTTTTTAGTAGAGACGGGGTTTCACCGTGTTAGCCAGGATGGTCTTGATCTCCTGACCTCGTGATCCGCCCGTCTCAGCCTCCCAAAGTGCTGGGATTATAGGCTTGAGCCACCGCGCCCGGCCTTTTTGTTTTTTTTCTCAAGACAGAGTTTCACTTTTGCGCCCAGGCTGGAGTGCAGTGGCACGATTTCGGCTCACTGCAACCTCTGCCTCCCGGGTTTAAGTGATTCTTCTGCCTCAGCCTCCCAAGTAGCTGGGATTACAGGCACCCGCCACCACACCCAGCTAATTTTTTGTATTTTTAGTAGAGACGGGGTTTCACTGTGTTGGGCAGGCTGGTCTCAAACTCCTGACCTCAGGTGATCTGCCCACCTTGGTCTCCCAAAGTGCTGGGATTACAGGCATGAGCCACTGCACCCAGCCTTTTTTTTTTTTTTTCCTTTCTTAATTACCAAGCACAGTCACCATATTTGCTTCAAGGTTCTTTTATTCTGTACCTCTGAGATACTAGGAACTAGCCTGGCGTGGTGGCATGCACCTGTAATCCTAGCTACACAGGAGGCTGAGGCAGGAGGATCACTTGAGCCCAGGAAGCCAAAGCTGCAGTGAGCCATGCTAGTGCCACTGCACTCCAGCCTGAGCGACAGAGATCCTGTCCCCCCCCCCCCCCCCCCCCCCCCCCCCCAAAAAAAAAAAGAAAAAACAATAGTTCTCTGGTCCTTTCATGAGGTGGGTTTTGTCCCTCTGACATTAAATTACATTCCATAAGACAAAATAGCTCACTATTTGGCCCAGAGAAAGGGTAACCCTACTTTTCAAGTCATCCCACATTATTTTGACATCTTTAAGAGAATAGCATTATCTCTCATCCTTTGGCCTCTGGTTAGAGAGAACCTCTGCTTTGCCACCATGTGACCGTACTTGAATTTCCTTTAGCTCAAACTTAGTATCATCCGTGTCATCATGCATACACACACACAATATTTTAGAAAACGAATTAAGCTTGACTTATTTACTTTATAGGTAAATCACCTTCTGAGCTTCTGATTCCCAAGAGGGTTGGTCTTATTCACATATCCCAAGTCATGTCAGAAGTTGATGGTAATAGGATGACCTTAAGCCAAGGAGCACAAGATTCCTTCCCTCTTCAGCAGAAGATCTTGGTCTGCTCTTTGATGCTTTTGATCAGGCAGTTGAAAATCAAAGAGGTCACTCTGGGGAAGGTAAGTTGGGATGGAGCAGACAGAGCGGAGGTAGAGATCAGAATCTGCTTTGCAAAGCAGGTATTTTCCAAAAGGCCTATGATACTTCAGCTGATATGAATTTAAAATGGATTTTAACAGTAAGAATTAATACTGGTACTCTATAAAAGGCACCTATTTCCCTTGGGTTGTGGTTGAGAGTTTACCATTAATCTTTTCCCCATACTCCCCTTCATTTCTGCATCTCTCTGTGAAATACATAAAGCCCCTTTCCTACATTACTGTATAGGTTTTTGGGAATATCTACAGAAGCCTGTTCAAGGATTTTATTGAAAAGAGGAAGAAATAGGGTATTCAGATAAGTTTTTGCAAACCCAGACTCAGGTTTTTTAAATGATTAAAGGCTATAAGCAATGTGACTTTTAAGCAGCATTTGTTCTCCCTTGTTTCCTACCAGTTATATGAAGCCTACAGTAAAGTCTGTCGCAAACAGCAGGTGGCAGCTGTGGACCAGTCAGAGTGTTTGTCACTTTCAGGGCTCTTGGAAGCCAGGGGCATTTTAGGATTAAAGAGAAACAAGGAAACCCGTTTGACAAAGGTACAACTGCTTTTTTGTGATAGTGTTTTTAATTGTTCTATTTTGTAGAGTGATGCTAAAGTAAAGGTTTATTGTTAAATGAGATGACCACAATTAGTTAAACAAGTCGATTTTTGTTAGGTAAGGTTTAAGGTGTATAAAGATGGGAGTGTGATATGAATATTTTTTCAGGCCATTGGAAAAGTAGTAGAGACTTTTGTCTTTTGTGAGAAAAGTTTAATATGGTATACGTTTGTGTACTGACAACTTTGCTTTTGTGAGTTCTCCAGTGTGAAAAATCCTTTTCTTTTCTTTACAGGTGTTCTTCAAGATTGAAGAGAAGGAAATAGAGCATGCTCTGAAAGATAAAACTTTAATTGGAAATATCTTAGCTACTGGATTGCCTTAAATTCTTCTCTTACACCCCATCTGAAAGTATTCAGCTGGCATTTAGAGAGCTACAGTCTTCATTTTAGTGCTTTACACATTCGGGCCTGAAAACAAATATGACCTTTTTTACTTGAAGCCAATGAATTTTAATCTATAGATTCTTTAATATTAGCACAGAATAATATCTTTGGGTCTTACTATTTTTATCCATAAAAGTGACCAGGTAGACCCTTTTTAATTACATTCACTACTTCTACCACTTGTGTATCTCTAGTCAATGTGCTTGCAAGTGTACAGATCTGTGTAGTGGAATGTGTATATATTTACCTCTTTGTTTGCTCAAACATGAGTGGGTATTTTTTTGTTTGTTTTTTGTTTTTTGTTTTTGAGGCCACATCTCACCCTGTTGCCCAGGCTAGAGTGCATTGGCGTGTTCTCTGCTCACTGCAGCATCCGCTTCCCAGGTTGAAGCGATTCTCTTGCCTCAGCCTCCCGAATAGCTGAGATTACAGGTGCCCACCACTGTGCCCAGCTAATTTTTGTATTTTTAGTAGAGACAGGGTTTTACCATGTTGGCCAGGCTGGTCTTGAACTCCTGACCCTCAAGTGATCCACCCACCTTGGCCTTCCAAAGTGCTGGGATTATAGGCGTGAGCCACCACGCCCAGCCATGAGTGTATTTTGTTAAGAACTTTGAGATTAGGGTAAGAAGAATGAAAATGATCCAGAAAAATGCAAGAAAGTCCACATGGAGATTTGTAGGACACTGGTTAAAGAATTTCTTTTTGGAGTATACTATGTTCATGGTGCAGATACTATGACATTATGGCATTTTAAAGACTCGTTGAGTTTCTTGGGCACTCCCAAGGGCGTTGGGGTCATAAGGAGACTGTAACTCTACAGATTATGAATATATTTATTTTCAAGTTGCATTCTTTGTCTTTTTAAGCAATCAGATTTCAAGAGAGCTCAAGCTTTCAGAAGTCAATGTGAAAATTCCTTCCTAGATTGTCCCACAGTCTTCGCTGCCCTTGGATGAAGCCACTTATTTCAAGATGCTTACTTTGGGGTTGGGTTTTCATCTAAACACATTTTTCCAGTCTTATTAGATAAATTAGTCCATATGGTTGGTTAATCAAGAGTCTTCTGGGTTTGGTTTGGTGGCATTGAATGGCAATTTGTGACTGAGACACCAGAGGGCACCATTATAACATTGACTGCTTTGAAAGGGGATGCTTGAGGCTGAGGTAGTTTTGAGGGAAAGGGGGAAGTTCTAGTTTGATTTGTTTGGGAGATTGCTGTACTTTTATAACTCAAGCAAATGTTTGAAATGTAAACCATGTGTGATATGAATGATCTGAGAGCCAGTGACCAAGTCTGCTTTTCCCAGAGCTCTCCTGCTGCCGCCTCTACCTTTCTGACATGGCCTTCCATTTGGGAACTTGATATGTGTACAAATGATATGTTGGCCACTGTTTCATTCATCCTGACCACTGTATCCTTGTAATGTGATCTGAACTACAACAGGTGGTATGGGATAGAGGCAGGGAAAGCAGAGAGAGCCCTCTGAAATGAACACTACCCACTGGTGTGTGTAGCACAAGATAGTCTGTAGGCATGAGCCTGAATGTTGTTCTCACACTCCTTTACTAGAGCATTCATTCCCTCTGAAGGCAGTTTGAACATGGAAACAGTTCTATACCTAAAAGGTTGGAAAGTGTCTGGGAGTATAAGGGTTAACAGGCATAATTGCAAAGATTGTCCAAAGACTGATGGAGAGCAGAGACTGAATGGGATTGAGAACAGATGCGAAGCTTGATTTAAATTACATTTTATTGGATGCTGCAGCCTTAAGAGACGTGACTGCTTTACAGTTTGTTTCCACACTGTGGGCAGCTGCTGTCTGTTCTGTGTCCACAATAGGATCCTGCCCAATAAGGAGCAGCCTCCCCACCTCGTTGTGTTTGAGGCTTGGCGCCTTCGTCTTAACTGTAGGGCTTGAGTCAGGAACATGGCTTGACTCGCAGTGGGGCTGCTATGTATCCTCCCTGGCTTCCAGCCAAAATCACATTGGTAGATTCGAAGGGGCCAAATTTGTTTCCCCTCTATCTCCTTTCTCTCTCTTTCCCCTGGTTTTGGAAATAGGGTTTTCTGTCTACTGATTTGTTAGTTTCCTTTTCTTTACTTCTCCCCTCACTGTCAATTTCTAGGTCATTGCTGCTCTTAAGACTTTAGCAATTGGAACAGGGTTGGTTCTGTCAATGATGCGTGAAGCAGACTTAGTGTCCCTGCTTGGCTTCCGCTGCCCTTGTGGGAGCAAAAACTGATATATGTTTGTCAGTAAAGTCTTAAGTGTAATTCAGACTGCTGAGGAAGAAAGCCCTTTCCTTGCTGGCTTTTCTCACTGAAGCTGAGAGCTACAGGAAGGTGGTAGGAGTTTTAGTGGGATGGGATGGGATGGGCTTGTGGTTAGCAGTTTTTGCCACGATCATAGGCTGCTTCACTTAGAGCACTGGCAAAGATGCTGACCTACATTCTTCCTTTTGAAGGTGATGAAGTGTCTGTCTATATCCTGGTTTATCTGTCACCCCCACCCCAAGGAAGCTGATTAAGCTTCCATAGAGTATTGGATATTGCCATGGAAAGAGCATAGACAAAATAAATTGGTGTGTATTTCAACCCCAGAGCTGCCACAGACATTTCTGGCTCAATGGAGACTTGCCTGTGGCTAGCTAACTCTGCAAGAATGTGTGAGGTCCAGGCTGGGCGTGGTGGCTCACGCCTGTAATCCCAGTACTTTGGGAGGCCGAGGCAGGTGGATCATCTGAGGTCAGGAGTTTGAGACCAATCTGGCCAACATGGCGAAAGCCTGTCTACTAAAATAAAGTAGCCAGGCATGGTGGCGTGTTCCTGTCATTCCAGCTACTGGAAGGCTGAGGCAGGAGAATGACTACAACCAGGGAGGCAGAGGTTGCAGTGAGCCGAGATAGCACCATTGCACTCCAGCTTGGGCGACAGAGTGAGACTGTCTCAGAAAAAAAAAAAATGCTGGGTGCGGTGGCTCACGCCTGTAATCCCAGCACTTTGTGGGGCCAAGGCAGGCGGATCACTTGAGGGTCAGGAGTTCAAGACCAGCCTGGCCAACATGGCGAAACCCTGTCTTTACTAGAAGTACAAAAATTCACCTGGCACCGTGGTACACACCTATAATCACAGCTACTCAGGAGACTGAGGCAGGAGAATTGCTTGAGCCTGGGAGGTGGAGATTGCAGTGAGATGAGATCATGCCACTGTACTCCAGCCTGAGTGACAGAGTAAGGCTGTCAAAAAATAATGTGTGAAGTCCAGTCTACCCAGAGATCAAAAAGTTGGCAGAGCCTTATTCTCTCTGAGCCCCCCGTTTGCATTCCTCCCTATCTTTACTAAGTGTCCCTTTGAATATTCATCAGGCCAGGTGTGGTGGCTCATGCCTGTAATGCCAACACTTTGGGAGGAGGCAGCAGCAGGAGGATTACTTGAAGTCAGGAGCTTGAGACCAGCTTGGGCCACATAGTGAGACCCCTCCCCCTTACCCTTCTCTACCAAAAAAATCTTAAAAATTAGCTGGGCATGGTGGCATGCACCTGTAGTCCTAGCTATTCAGGAAGCTGAGGTGGGAGGATGCTTTGAGCCCAGGAGTTCAACTCGGCATGGGCTGTGATCACACCACTGCATTACAGCCTGGGTGACAGAGTGAGACCCTGTCTCTAAAAGTAAAAGACAGAAAGCAGATACACCAATAAGAATGAGAAGTTGGGAATAAGATGTGACTTTGTGACTTCGGTTTTTTTTTATATATATGTTTTGTTTTTTTTTTTTGTAAGACTGAGTCTCGCTCTGTCACCCAGGCTGGAGCAGTGGTGCGATCTCTGCTCACTGAAAGCTCCACCTCCCAGGTTCACGCCATTCTCCTGCCTCAGCCTCCTGAGTAGCTGGGACTACAGGTGCCCACCACCATGCCCGGCTAATTTTTTCTGTATTTTTAGTAGAGACAGGGCTTCACTATGTTAACCAGGATGATCTCGATCTCCTGACCTCGTGATCCGCCCGCCTCGGCCTCCCAAAGTGCTGGGATTACAGGCTTGAGCCACCATGCCTGGCTGGTTATATTTTTAAAATATCTTGAGAGGTGTTAACCTTGACTGCTGAGGGAGAACAAAAGAGAGCCAAGATTGAAATTTTATTTACATTTGTATCTGTCCCTAGCAATTAGCGTAGTGCCTAATACCTGGTAGGTACTCAATAGTTGCTGAACAGATAAATTAACCAAATAAGATGCTGCCTTTTCCTCCATGGTGAGAACAGTTCTAAGGTGAAGGTAAATGTTGGTACTTTTGCACAAAGGTGGAGCAGGCCCCTGCATAAGAAGGGTGCTCTGTCTTACAAAATGTGTCTTGGCACAGTTTTGGAGCATTAGCCTCACAGATGCATTCCAATCACTCCCTCTGATGTAGTGGCATTTTGCTTGAGGCAACTTCCATGTTGCTGGTGGGACGCTTTGGCTATGCGGGGAAGAGTCTCACCTGCAGGCTGGCAAGAGAGCTGCCTGTCTGGATGTTACTCAGTGTGGCTAGATTGGCTAGAAGTTGGGTATCTAGGCAAGGGTTTAGGAAGAAGCCCATCTTTGATGTCCCACTTTTTTTTTTTTTGAGACGCAGTCTCGCTCTGTCGCCCAGGCTGGAGTACACTGGTGTGATCTCGGCTCACTGCAAGCTCCGCCTCCCGGGTTCACGCCATTCTCCTGCCTCAGCCTCCTGAGTAGCTGGGACTACAGGTGCCCGCCACCACGCCCGGCTAATTTTTTGTATTTTTAGTAGAGACGGGGTTTCACCTGTTCGCCAGGATGGTCTCGATCTCCTGACCTTGTGATCCGCCCGTCTTGGCCTCCCAAAGTGCTGGGATTACAGGTGTGAGCCGCCGCGCCCTGCCTGATATCCCACTTTTTAACTTAGGGAAAGTTGTGATCTCAGGTTCCTCCTGAAAAGATAAAGTACCTTCTAAGATACCTTCTCTTAAGCTACAAACAGTGCAGGTCTTCCTCTTAGAAGCAGTGTGTTCTGTAAGGGGAGAAGGTGTGCCCTCTGGCCTCCCCTTGATTTTCAACCCCAGCCCCAAGGCACTGGCAGTGGAAGTTAATTGGGTGCAAGGGGCTTGGGTAAAGGCTGAAGACTGGTGAGAGGAGAGAGCCAGCTTCGTTTTTTAAAAAGCTCTAATTGAGTTCTGAATCAGCCTCACTCCCTTTGATCCCTCCTCTGTTTCCCACACTGCCTGAAAGAGCTAGATCAGCACTTTATAACAAGGGTGCGCCTGCTCCCCGCACCGCCCCCCCTCTCCTGACGCTCTCTGCTGCCGCCATCCACTGCTTGTCTCCTCCAGTTAAGATAATGAAGATGCTGAGAGATAAAATGTGTATTTAATAAGGGTGGGGGTAGGGAGGCGGAAAGGGGCAACCAGGGCCTTCCCTAGTTTGGGGCCTCGCCAAGACTTAAGCTGAAAGCAAAGCTAGAGTAAGACTTGGCCCCAGGGTGTGGGGGTTTCTGGGCCTCAATCCAGCTGACTTCACTGCCTGCTGTTTGCCCTAAATTCCCCCACCTCCACCCTCTCACCCCCACACTGCTTTCTTCTTGCTCCCAATGGGAAAAAGGACTCTTGCTTCGACTTTCTTTTCAGCTGGTAACTTGGCCTTTGGTGCGGTCCCCCCACCCCAGTGTCAGCTGCAAGGTCGGGCTAGGGCAGCCCCCTCTAGCCTAGGCCTGTAGAAGCTGTGGGTTCACAGTGGGGGGTGAAAAAGCTGGAGTTAATGAAGACCAGCTGCTAGTCTGGGTTCTGCCTACAGCTAGCTGGAGGCCGGCCTTTGGTGGTGGTTGATGGGGGATGGGGTGACCTCCATCCA